AAGACTCCCAGGAGCGCAATTTCTTGTCATTCGTATCCAAAAAGACGGTTAATTAAGAATAATGCGCGCTTTGATTGACTCAGCATCTATGAAGAAGAATAGGGATTCATTCCTGCGGTTTTTATTTTGACTGTCTTAGTCATTGTTCATCGTTGTTACATGTTTTTCAAACAATGGGATCAGGCWAACGCCATGATTTTTCTTTTTATCGCCAATTCTAAACGTTTGGATTTTTTGCTCTTCATGTCATGSAGATTCCGAATTCCTTTTTTGCATTAGCGTATCTTAGTTTTGTAAATCATGACTACAGTATAAATCCTTCAAAAAGATTTCAAAGTTTTTTGGAGGTTTTCATGTTTGCTCTTTGATTTGTATAATTAGTAACACACCGATGGCTCCTGGAGTCTACGATAAGTTTTCTTGAAGTAAATATATAATCATTCTCTCTTTACATATTTTAGGCATGTTTCCCAAAGATAAAACATACACCACTGAAGATCTTTACCATTAACAATCTCTTCTTCATCAAACATTGAGAAATCAAGATCATGACATGCTCAAAATCTGCTGAGCTTTTTTGTTTTTGTTTTCACATCACCGGTTTACACCGGTTTTTGATCGGTCGACTGCTACAATAGCACATTTATGTAAGGGTTTGTATTTTATCCTCATTGCATCCTCATTACCGAGCCACGGGAATTCAGGACGCTCATTACAGTTTCCAAAACTCACTTTTGAGAGAAATTAGCAGCGAATTTTTATGGCAAGCCAAACAGGACAAAAGTATGGTGAGATCAAAATCACATGTTGAGAATAATGCATCCCTTTACGAGAATAAAAAATTGCTATGCGAGAACTGAAATCATCATATGAGAATAAAAAATTACTATGCGAGAATTGAAATCACCATACGAGTTTGCGAAATCAACGTACGAGAATCAATAATCATCATACTAGAATCGGAAACAAAATCACTATGTGAGTTCAGGAAATCACTATACGAGAATATCGATTAGCAATCACAAAAATATCGATTGAAAAGTCATCATTTAGGGCATGAAGCAAGATGGCGACTGCGTTGACTTCTGAAGATTTAACAGAGGGKTTTTTTTTCATCTTTAAGCGACATCGCTGATGGGATTGTTTCGTCTATTAATTTAAGATAGAGATGATGTTCAATTAATGATCTGRGAAGACGGCTTAAGAATTGTTCCTTTGTCAAAAAGTGCCGGAGGAAGACCAGCGTATGATATATAAAAAGATCAAATTGAAGAGCTGTGAGAGACAGGAATGAACTGGAGAAGTATCGCAATTCTTTCGTTAGTCCCAAGACTTTTTATGCTTAAAATGTGTGAAATACGGTTCAACAAGACAGCTAAACAATCAGTCAATGTCTCCAGTAAACCTTTCAAAGATGAATCAAATCCACTTTTCTTAGAATTACATATTGGCTACAAGTACCCTTAAATGTTCCTCAAGTCATCTTCCGCAGATCACCAATTGAACATCTCTATCTTGAATTAATAGATGAAACAATCCCATAAGCGACGTCGCTTTAAGATGAAAAAAAAATCTGTTAAATCTTCAGAAGTCAACGCAGTCGCCATCTTGCTTCATGCTCTAAATGATGACTTTTCAATCGATATTTTGTGATTGCTAATCGATATTCTCGTATAGTGATTTCCTGAACTCACATAATGATTTTGTTTCCGATTCTGGTATGATGATTATTGATTCTCGT